AGATCAGGCTCTAAAGCTTGAACATGTGTTGGTTGTTTTTTCCTCCCTATATATTGAGAGAGCTTATTTCCAGAGATGTGGCTTTTATCTAACACCATCAAACCATTTATTTAGCTCTAGAATATCAGATCAGTTCTGTGATCCTAAATCAGTGTTCTTCTTTCTCATCTCAATAGTAGGAGGATGCTTCTTATTAACTGCTAAAAAGAAGGAAACTCTGCTTTTGATGCTTGTAGAACAGAGCAATAACAGTAGGTCTAGAAGGCAACTCCTAGTGCAAATCCATTTCCCAGTCATAGTCACCCTTGCTAGGGAATCTTGACTTAGCTATAGCGAGGCAGTGGTTGGCTGGGCAATAGCTTAGTCCGTGTCCTTGGACATATATGGTTGGAAAAAAATGAATGAAGCTGCCATCCTGGAAGACAGAATCTGTTACTGGAGCCATCCTTGGAGACTAGGCAAGGCAAACACATGATCCTGTGTTCTTGATTGATAAACTACCAGCTCCCTGCCAGTTATCAATTGAGCAGAGATTCAGACTTCGAAAGAGCTATGTGGATAATGTTGCTGTTAAGAGAAACTAGAAGTACTGTCTGCTTTATTCCCTAACATTACAGAGCAGCTGTGTAGCAGCACCAGGTGTCCTATGTACCTGTTAACAGAAGTGGGGGGCTTGTTTGAGTTGGTTTTGGCTTGAGGTCAGTTCAAGTGTACAATGTGGGTAAAAGCTCTTATTTTGCTGAGATCTGAGATCCCCCCTTCTTTTTCCCTTCTCCAGTCTGTGATAACATGGAGAAGTACAACTCAGCCAGTCCTTTCCTCTGCATGGATCTCGTGTACATCACTGCTTTGCTAAAGGAAGGATTTGGATTTAGGGACAACACACTCTTACAGGTGAGAAAACCAGAAAAGTTAAATTGCAAAGCCCAGCTTCCCAGTCTCTGTATCAATCAACATGCATTAGCTGATGTCTCTGGCTCATTATCTACTGAGTCTTTCCAAGGTTGTTATACGTAGTTGCTGTCATCTGTGAAACATACAAAACTAGAGAACTGTCAGGAACAACTTCTTTTTCTTCCTTTACAGTTAACAAAGAAAGTGAACAACGTAGAGACAAGCTGGACTTTGGGTGCTACCTTTCACCTGCTGCAGTCTCTGGGAATCACTTACTGAGCTGTGACATTCCTGTGGACTACAGCATTTCTGAAAGGCTGAGAAAGCAATTGAGACCTCCAGGTACATTGTTCAGCTGGAGCTGGTCACAGAGCAGAACATGGACCAAAGCTATAGAAGAGACCTTCACCCCAGACCGGCATCGTGCATAATGAGAGTTGCTACAGTATGATTTATAATTGTGATTGCCCCCAGTGATCCAGAATCTACCTTCTGAAAGCCAGCAGGCCTAAACACAAGCAGAGTATTGCAAGGGGCTCAAAGCCAGCTTTCACCAGCACCTTCGTATAGCCTCCCATTGCTAGAAGCACAGGGTACCTGGCATGTGGTGGCAGACCACAGACACTTGGCTTCCCATCCCCCTTTTATTTTAAACATGCATAACTTAAGTTTGCTTGTGAGATTTTAAATACATAAATTACAGGTGACATCAACAGGCATTCAGAGAAAGGTAACTGAGTGCTGCCAACCTCCCTGTTCCAAGTACCTGGCTGTTAGCTTAGATAATATGTTGCAAGAAGAGTCCAGTCTTTCAAGAAGGGCTCTGCTCTAAGTGCACTTTGGGCATGGTTTTGGGAAAGGTGTGGGCTAAAGCATATGTTGTAACGTACTGTGTATTTCTTTAGACAGTAATCATTTCCTGAGCAGAATGCATGTCTGAGTCCCTTTTTGCTGCCTTTTGCAAGCCTGTGCAGCTGTACTGTGCATCTGGCTACCAGACCTGATAATTCACTTAGGGTGTAGTCATAACACAGACTTGTACTGGCACAACCAGGCAGCAGTGCCAGCTGTTTAAATTCTCCTGTCAAAAGAAGTACTTGTCACATTACACCCACAAGGAAACGAAGGGTGCAGTCAGATGAAAGGGCTTATCTGATTGATAGCTCACTTTGCAGTGAGAGGCAGTTCTGCTTCTCTGCTCTCATCGAGGCACTCCCACAGCTTTCTTTCCTCTGATGCTGGTGCTCCTCCAGTTCCTCGAGGACTGGATTCCCAACACCAAATGTAAGTTAAATCAGATCCCTAAAGGGTCAAGTCTAGGGCTAGCACGAGGGAAGGAGGCATTGCAAAGCCTGGAGAGACCTGCTGGGCCAGGGAGCTATTAGAAGGCCACAGCCCACTTTGTACAGTGAGCTCTAAGGTGTGGTTTCCCATCTGAAAGTTTGAGCTTATCACTTCCTGTGCTGTCCTTAGAAACCTGCTCTGAATGCAGAGCTGTGGGGAAACTGTTTATGTAGTTGTTTAATAGACCAATATAGGAAGAGAGCGGAATTAGCATCAGAAACAGAGGGAGAACGAGAGCAGAAGTAGCTTAACTTTCTTATCCCTTGTCCATTCGAAGTTGGTTTAAACTTCATTTCTGTTGAATTTAATGTAGCATAGTTGGACCCATGAAATTGTGTATGCAGCCCTGCATTGCTCTGGAGTTATTTTTAATACACAGTAGGTCTTTAGGAACAGTGTGCTCAGTGCAGGGGTTGCAGCTGTTGAGGAATCCCAAGACTTCTGCCAGGATAGCATGCAGCTATTTGAGTAACAATTTGAAGTGAACCTTGCCATCACCTTCACACCAAACACATAGAAGCAATGAAAGATCACATCTTGTCCTATAACCTAGAAAGCTGGTCTGTAGGATCCTGGGTTTCTTGTTTCCTTGGCTGTAGAGAACATCAAGATTGCTCAGATACCTTGAGGCTCCAAGTGCAGACCTTGCATTGTCCTAAGTAGAAATGGCTGTGGAGACAACTTTTGAAGCTGGCTCTTCAAAAATTAGTATCTTCTACTCACCATGGAATGTGTAAGGTAAAGATTAATTTCCCCCAGTCATAAGAACAGAGAGGTATTATTCATGTGACTCAGGGAAGCTTTTATCCACTGATCTCTTGGGATGAACACCTCCCAGTCAGGCATTTGCAGTTACCTGTTTGCCGTAACACACCTTTCCCTCTTCTGTAAAACCAAAGACTGCCCTCAAGATACCTTTTCTGCAGACTGGATTTGAGAGTAATTGGTAATTCCCAGCAATGGAAGGAAGTAGTGCACTCGTGCCCTTCCTGATCTTGCCAAGCAGTTTGGAGACTTGGGAATTTGCCTTACCGTGAACACCATGTACCTTCCTCTAATTAGCAGGACAGGTTTGACTGTAGCTGATCTAGCTTTCTCCTTCTATCTCAGGTTTGACGGCACTAGGGTGCAAGGCCTGCTTTTGATTGAACAAGCTCAGTCAGCAGCAGGAGTCCAAGGGCTGGGGATGGAGCTACCTGTATTTGCCCCACCCCTAACACTTTGCTGCAAATTCAGGCTGTTTCTTTGAAACACGAAATGCTCATCCTACCTGTACTCCCCCTTACCAGAATGTGTTTTGAAATCCATGGTGGGAAATTCCTCAGTGTCACACCAATCTTCTATTACTTCCTCACTGGGAGGTTCTGTTTGAAGAAAGTAGTTGTGTCCTCTTCTCAACCACAAACATTTCTTAAGCCCCTTCCTACTGCTCAGCAAAACTTAGTTTATCATCTGGTCTGCACAAGGTGACTGCAGGTGCATTCATTTTGTCTTCAGTGAACAACTGTGTTCACTTTTGTATTCTCACAGAACACAAAACAGGATGCAGTGGTTGCCAGCAGGGATGCATTACTCCTGAGAACTAGCTAATTTAATAATCACAGAGTCTTCTTCCCGTCTGAGCCAGTACTATGACACACTCTTACTACATCCTGGGGCTAAAAGCTGTAAGCAGTGAGGCTGTATTTGAAACAGGAAGGGAAAGGGACAAGCAGCAGCAGCATTTCCGCCAACTGAAGAGACATTAGCCCTGAGGCGTACTTATGGGTTTGATTTTGTCTGAAGGGAGGATGGTCTAGAACAGGACAGGTACCAAGTTTCTTTTCTGTGTTCTCTGCCTCAGACTTTGCTACTACAGATGCTAGGTGGGAGCATCAGCTTCCCAGTACCAAAGTTGCATTAAATCTGAATGCTCAGGGCCTTCCTTTGTCAGTGGCACTATTCATTAACAGAAACAAAACTGCTGCTTTCTATCAGGGGCCTGATCTTGCAGTCATGAGAGAAACAGGAGCTCTGCTCAAAGATTTTTCTTGCCAGAAATGGCAGCATTGAGCCCCTGCTGTTTACATCTGAACTACTCAATGTGGGTGGGGGAACTATAGAAGCCAGTCAGTTCCTCACACCGTTGTGCAATGAGATTATTTATTAGCTTAACTAAAGACTTAAGCAGCCTTTTAAGAGAAGAGTTATACTTTCAGCCCTGTTTTTTCTCTCCTCCTTCATAATGCCTTTTAGCCAGTTACTAACAGGAACTGCCTAATATGAGTGACTGAGCAAGCACAAGTAATGGCTTTCAGTTCAAAACATAAGTTTCATTCTTTCTGCTGTTAATTCCTGATACTGGTCAACCAGATGTGAAAATCTTGCCCATGGGCAGTACTCACTTAATTTTATGAGTGTCAAATGCCTAATCCAGGAGGCTGGTGTTTAGAACCTAAAACAGAATATTTTGAAAGTCTATTTTAGTAATTAAAGCATTTTTAACAATATTCAACATGTTGTGGTACACTTTTCTTTCCTAGATATTATTGTTAGTTTGCATCTCTTTTCCATGCAGCCCTTAAGGCTGTTCAACAAGAAACCTCATTATTAAATAATACACTAAGAGAAGAGCAGGGAAAAGGGTGAGAGACAGATTAAAGCTTTAAACATCTGCCACCATGAGTTGTCTCCCTGTGCTAAACACTACCCCTCCTTTCTGAGTCCAGGCAGTGCTAAGAGCCCTGGAGTGATGGTGCAGCTCTAGAAATCAAGTCAGAGAAAACCAAAAGTAATTAAGCAGTAAAAATTGTAGCTGGCACAGTTCAGCACTGGGTTTGCAACTGTTTCCACCTCAGTCTTCAACCCAAGAGGCCCAAATTGAAAGCACATTGTACAGATTGTTCTGGGCTGAAGACATCATGGTACTACAGGAAGAGACCCTAAATCCTCTTGAGGAGAGCAGATGAGACACAACTTTTGCATAAACCCATGGATAACAGTTTTATTGTCAAATTAAAATAACACAATTCAAGGATTCGAGTCAGTCATTCGCCTTGTAAGGGCAACGTGTTCACAGGTAAGATGCTGTTCCAAACTGACAGCATGTCACTTGCTGGCAATAGCCATGATTTGCTCCTAAAAGAGAAGAAAAATATAACTCATTTGTAAACTAGTAAGAAACAGACATTCTAGAAACCAGCTACAGTCTCTTTCCCTTTTACGTATATAGGCAAGTTTTGTCAGCCTTTCCAGACAAGTGCAAAGCACTCTTCCTATATGCTACCAAATTAAGGAAGTTGCAACATTCCTTTTGAAGCAGCAGAAAACAGAGGTGTTACCACAGGTTCTGTGCTCAGGGAAGAGGTCTTCATTTAGTTTTCTGCTTTAAACAGAGTAACAAAAAAAAACCCACCTCTGAGCACTGAAGCAGCAGCATAGCCTTTCAGTGCAACTACTAAAGACATCTTGCCAGTGGCAGCTGCTACACCTTAGGATTTGCTCCTCTAAGAGCACTATCATGGTTCAACAGTGACTGTAACACAAAGGAAACAGGCCACCTGTATTTAATACGAAGAAGATGACTTGATTTGTGGAATAAAACATTCAAACCCAGAAATGAGGGTTTGAACCTCATGAAAATTCAGTGAAGGAAATCAGAACTTAGGCAGACAGGCTGCAAATAGAGGGTCTGTGTTTAAGACTGAACCTCCTCACCACTGCCTTCCTCAGGTAATTTCCATTAGAGAGACTTGCACTTCTGCCATGTGGGAACAATTTCACAAGGCACAAAACAGCACAGAAATGGGTAACTCATTTGAGCTGCACACCACATCTGTCAAGTGACCTGATATTCTTAGTGAAGATGAGTCTTCATAGCACTGGGTTTCATAGGGCATTTCTGGAATGCAGCTCAAGTTCCACATTTTCATGCCATAGCAAAATAAAGCCAAAGACTATGAATGACTTCTAACCCCTAACTACTGATACAGAGTACAGACACTTAGATCCCTTATCTTCTCTTGTGCTGCAAGAGCAAACAGTTGCAACTGAGCCATTGGTTATTTAGGAACTCCTCTGGTTCAACTGGGACACACAACCTCAGTTTGAGCGTGATTCATTTTCCCACCAAAAATGCTTCATTTAAAAGAAAAATGAAACAAACAAAAAAATCTTTACAGCTTCCGTATGTTTCATGAATATTCTAGACTCTTCCTACAGCCTTCACAAAAGGGAGGTTCTTACTTTGACAGGAGGCAGGGCATTTGTTGCTTGCAATCCCCACGTCCTCAGCAATACCAAGGGAGCCAGCTTCGTGGAGTAAAGCCTCTTTAGGACATCAGTAGCAGCTATCAAGGAGACATTGTGCCTCTGACGCTCTGTCTCAAACTTTAAGAGATGTTTTAAGGACCCTGGAAGAGAGAATCGAATGCTCCTATTTAAACAATTGTGGGTCTTATCTACAGTCTTATAGCAGTCTTCACTGGCAACTGAAAACACAGAGAGCAGAGAAACGGTCCATCTTAATAAAGGCCTCCTTCTATCAGCCAGTGCTCTTCATCACCACTTCTTTAGCTATCATCCTGCAGATTTTTTTTAAAGCAGATTTGAGGTTTGTGGGATGAAAAGTGCATCCAAGACTCTCTAACTGCTCCACAGCCAATGGACATCAGAACAGTTTTGCTTCTAAGATGCTGGTGCCTTTCAAACACAAGACAGCAGCATGCTTAACCTGCAGTAGAGGTAATGCTTGTCCTGGTGTTAGCAGCAAAGGCCTGTAAGACCAATCATCTCACTGCCCTATCAGTGTCTTGGGTCCTTACCCAGATCGTTCCCATTGAAGGCTGCGGCACTGAGGTGATGAGCTAAACATGCAATATCACCAAAGCCCAGGTTTACACCTTGTCCTGCAAGTGGGTGGACTCTGTGTGCTGCATCCCTGGAGCAAGAGAAGGCAGAAATTTATATCCCTTCTTGAAGAAAGCCATAATGGCAGACAAACCCCAGAAGGGTCAGTGTAGCACTCCTCACCTCCTCACAATGAACACCTTACAGCAGCACACATGATTTATCCAGTACCTCTCTGCATGCTACGCTGAACAACCTGACTGCCTCTCCAGTTGTAAGAAGCAAAACAAAAGAAAGATAAAAAAAAGGCAGTTCTGAAAGGAAAAATTATAAAGAGGTGACTAGCCAAAGTCCTCTCAGCCTATGTGTGGAACAGGCCTTGGTGGTTTTGTAAGTGACCTGAGCACAACAGGAGGTATATTATATCGTTGCCACATTTCACAGAGTAGAGGGACATCATGAACACACAGAAGTGGGATATCATCGAATAGAAACAAAATCAAAGTCCTTTTATGATCAGACTTACTTATAAAGGACAAAGCCAGACATATTGATAAGGGAGTCTTAGAGAAATGAAATAAAGTTTGGGTATGAAATTTAATATCATTTAACAAGCTATAAAGCACAGTGTGCTCCCAGTCACAAAGTGGCTCACAAGTTGGAAAGATGAAAAGCATCCAAAGTATAATCCAGCATCCTAGAACTACTGTAAGCGACCAGTGTATTGCAGCTGTGGCAGAGAAGAAGTAAATGTAACCTCAGAATGCAGAAGATGAGATATTCTCATGTTTCTATAGGCCACTGTACAAAAGCCTATGACATCCCACCTGGAATAATTTGTAAGTTTTGTAATTTGTTTCAAAAAAGGCAAGTTTAAAATCTCAAACTGGTACACAGAATGGATGCTAAAATGTTTGGGCAAGTACAGGGTCAGCACAAGATACTGGATTGTTTTACTGGACTACTCAAACCAGGAAAGGGAAATAATTATCTTGCAACTTACATCGAAAGCTCACACAATGGACAGACTGCTTCTCACACAAAAGGACTTTGTTGGCACAGGAGCACATGAGCCTCAATAGTGTCAAACTTAAACCACAGATTATTTCTAACTATCTAATTTGTTGATGCTGCACTCACATCATTTCTAATCGCATTCACCTGACTCACATGAGGGCTGCTGCTCAGGACCTTACCCAATCAGGGCCACGCGGTGCTGGACATACTCTGTTGCATGCCCCATTCCAAGAGGGAACATGGCTCGGCTCTCTGGATCCACTTTAGCAATGCTTGGGGGTAGCTGACGGACTGCACTCCCTGAGGGCCTCAAGAATGAAAGAGCAGATCGGAACATGGCCCCAGCAGTGTCAATGAAGTCAGAGTGGTTTACATTGCTCCACTGAAAAAAAACACACCAACCTTTACATGTTAATCCAAACCAGAAATACAAAAGAATCCAATTGAAAAAAAATCTAGATGAGCTCCAAATACTGAATTTTAACAACCTGGACAAAACTATACAGTAAAAGAAACTATCTTCATAATTTTAGAACAGAGGCTTCCAACTAGGATGAGTTTACCTTTCCCACCTTCTGGAAATTTAGTTCAACTAACCTAACTCTGTCCCAGGGGTTCATTCCTTCTTTGCTAAGTGCCTTTGAGTATCATCCTCACCAGGGGAAGGAACTTAAGAATCCACCTCTCCCATTACTATCCCTTAAGCTGTAGGGTTCCATTATATTTCTCATGATTACAACAAAGCCTCATACATGCCACAAGGCTGATACTCACAAAGGCAGAGTTGATGCTATCCACAAAACTTTCCTCATCCATAGCAAGAAGTTCTGATGCGTGTTCATGAGACGTAGACCAGACCAGAGAGCTGGCAGTGTCAGACAACTAGAGTTCCAGAGAATGTCAAGAGTAAGTATTAAGAAAAAAAGAAGCAAAAATAAATTATCAGTGCAGAGATCTCCCACTGCCCTGCCCCACACCAGTCCCTCTGCATATACTCCCCCAGTCCAACTTGCTGCAAGTGGGAAATACTAAGGATAAACTGAGAGGGCAGCAAGGAAAAAAAAATGCTGTAACTGAAAAGTAAAGTGTAGGGGGATAAATTCTTAAGAGACAGCAATACCACAGAAAGGCCCAGACAGGAACAGAATTACTAGAAAAGAACAGACTAAACATAAAAATTAAAAAGTAATAAATAAATACAGAGACCAGAAGTCATCTTACCGGAAGAAGTGCTATTGGCCCTGTAGGAAGGAACCTCTGCCATGCTACGTTATTGTTTGTGGCCTAAAATGGAAAAAAAAAAGAAAAAACCCAAGCGGACACTCATCAATTAGAGACCTGGATCACCTGCTTAAGGTGTTCACCTGCTTATGGAAGAGTCAATTAGCAGAATTTCACCTCAGACAAATGAAGAGTTGCCACCACAGCTGACTGGTCATACTGATGCTCAATGTTCTTAATTTCAGCTTCCTTCCGGACTACAGAGTTATGACCATCTGCACCGATCTACAAAACAAAGAGATAAAAAGCAACTTCTTCAGCAAGTCCTAAGAAAGCCAATATTCCAGTCTATAAACCTCAGCCTGCACAAAGTTATTTTATGTTTATTCAGAAAAAAAGGTTACCCCAAAAAACAGAAGAGGTGGCCCCTTCTGCTTTTGTCCAATTCAGCACAGACTTCTTGCATCAGGCACCGTGTCCCATAGCATCTCTGACAGCATTAGCCACTCACCTCATTCAAGCCCTCCACTTGGGTGGAGTGGCACACATGGAATCAGAACCAAATCCAGGGGAAAGGACTTGGGAGAGAGATGACGCCTGATCAACAGAAATGAAAAGCTTAGTTACCAGCAGTTTGGCCTGAAGTCTGCGTCCATCAGCTAACTCAATTTGGACCCAAGGGCTTGTGCCACAGCTGTGAGAGGGGAGGGGCCACGTATACCCCACTGCTCTGCTCCCGTAGAAAACCTCCACCCGGTCTGATGGGAACACAAAGTACCACAGTCATAGCATGATACAGGTATGAAAAAAGGAAACATAACTACAAAAGCAAAGGCCACGTGTGCCTTACTGGCATTGTAAGACCTGGCGCTACAATTCTCAAGGCACCCTAAAAGACCAAACCTGGCCAACCCTTTGTCACTGCAAGGCCTGCTCTCGATAGAAAGCTACAATCTTTTAATTAAATCTATTTTTGGAGAGACTGTGTTCTGGAGAACTACGTATGAAACTCCCTTTGTGCTGTGTAGCCTTTGGAATACAGATTCCTCCCTCCCCCCTTAATTCAAGAAACTGCTTATGTCTCAGAGTTATCAGGGCTACTCATTAGATTTTTCACTCCTCTAACTTAGGGCACATAACAAGACAAGTAACTGAAAGCTCTCTGCAGAAAATAAAATATTAAAGAAGTTGACCAGTACCTGCTACTACATCTAACTGTTTTGTGAGAGCAGACATAATGACATCGTTCTCCACTATATAACCCATGTCATCTAAGTCATCTTTCTCAAAAACGATCATGGCTTCTGAACAAGCATCCCACACCTACAAAGGAAAAATACATTACACGAAGCTACACGATGAAGAAGTGTTTCTCCTTTCAGGGACTATGAACGTATCCATCTTAACCGGAAAGGAACATGGCAATCTAGAAATACAGAACTAGAGGAAACATCCAGGATTACTGTCTGTTCCCAGCAACTGAAGTACCTCACAGAATTCTTTTCATACAATGGTCTAGCTGCATCTCAAAAACTAATTGCAACAAAAGTTTTTTATCGCTACTTTTTTTCTACATAATTAGTACATAAAGCTCCCCTACCACCTTGCTGTGGGATACCCCAGCACACAGCTCAGCCTCATGCAGCGCCTCTCTCACTCCCCCACAGTGGGATGGGCAAAGGAATTGAAAAGTGAGGTAACTCGTGGGTTAAAATAAAGACGATTTAATAGGTAAAGCCAAAGTTGTATGTGGAAGCAAAGCAAAACAAGGAATTCATTCACTACTTCCCATTGTCGGGCAGGTGCTCAGCCATCTCCAGGAAAGCAGGGCTCCATCACACATAACAGTTACTTGAGAGGACAAATGCCATTACTTCAAATGTATGTATGTATGTGTGTGTGCATGTGTTTGTGTGTCTGTGTCCTTTCTTCCTTTCACCAGCTTTTATTGCTGAGCATGATGCCATGTGGTGTGGGGTATCCCTCTGGTCAGTTGGGATCAGGTGTCCCTGCTGTGTCCCCTCCCAACTACTTGAGCACCCCCAGCCTGCTCACTGGTGAGGTGGTGGGAGAGCCAGAAAAGGCCTTGACTCTATGTCAGCACTGCTCAGCAATTGCCTGTGATATCAACAGTTTTCATCACAAACCCAAAACATAGCACCGTACAAGCTGATATGAAAATAATTAACTCTATCCCGACCAAAAGCAACACACACCTTTACTTTTATTTCCTGGCAAGTACCTCTGCCTCAATATCTACAGCTTCCATTAAGAATAAATGTTTCATCTTGTAACATCAAGACTCTGAGGATGGGAACTTGCAATTAGACTGCTACCCCCAAAAAAAGTAACAAGAATCATCATAAGCATAACCTGCCCTTTGCCAAAGTAAAAAAAAAACACTTTGGATCATTAATGTAAGTACTTCTAAGAAGTTACAAGAGACAGACATAGTGTATTTGCAGCCCTAAGGAAGGCACCTGCATTCGCTGGAATGGTTTCAATCTCAGGCTGCAGACGTGATCCCAGGCACCAAAACCTGAAAAAGGACACAAATGCATGGAAATACAGGTTCACATCTGACACTGAGACCCAAACAAAACTTCTCCCTCCCTGTCTATCAATGCCCAGACTCTGCCTGCGCCATCCCTAGACAGGGCCAGGTCTGCCTCAATACTGTCACAGCTCCAGCATCACATTGTTTTACTGTTAACACAGGCCAGCAGAAAAGAATCAAGTGCTTTCCATGGACAATGTGATTTAATAGTCAACTCTTTCTGCCCCATCACTGAGTAATAAAACACACACAAAATGCATGGCCATCATTGTTTAAAACATTTCTTTCTCCATAAGGAATCAAGGCTCAAATCTTTAAAATGAAAATTAGTCAGAAGTGAGTTACCAGACTACAGAGCACTAAGTATGTGCATCTTTTGTGAACACAGCATTCCAGATGCTGTAGATAGCACCTCACATCATCTTGCTGGGCTAGCGTCACAAATAATTATATAACAGATCAGACTACGATACCAGAAAACAGATCCCTGTTACCAATTTAATTTAATTAATCACCACAACTCGGCATACAGAATACTGAAAGACAAAGGCACACAATTCTGTTGAGTTTAGGATGATGGCAGCACATGTTCAAAGGGGGTTTGTCAAATTGAAAGCAGCTCAAACATACTGTTAAAAACACAAACAGTAGCAAACATACTTACTGCTTAGAAGGGTTGCTGATCCTGGGGAGATAGAACTGACCCTGTTACTGTAGGTGTCTGGCACATAGTTGTATTCTTTCCGAGGACCAGCCTCCAGCAAAGCGATCTTCTTATCATGGAAGTGGATATCGTGCCCTAAAATAAGCAAATACATGCTTTGCTACAACATTCCTGCCAAAAATCTCATTCCTTATTCCTGTAACAGCTATATGTTTCTGTAATAACACAAGAGTAGTTGCAAAACTCAATAAAGAAATGCATTTATGATACAGGTTTTGACCAGGCAAGTAAACTTCCGTATTTTAAAACTTCCTGACTACAATCCTGTCACTGAGACAGACAAACCTTTTGTAGTTAAAGCACAGATTAAAAGTTTTCTTTTTGTACAAAGTTCACATTTTTTTACAAATTTGTGCCTAGCTTCTTATGCAAGTTCGTTATTTAAGTATTAATAGGCAAAGTCTGCAATGCAACTCCATACTCAGAACACATTTTTCAGAGCTTAAACATAAACTCACCACTTAGAACAGGAGATCAAAATAAAACTTCTGCGCTCCTTAGCAACTACATTAATGTTTTCTTTATCCTTATATGCTGATAGTGGGATAGTACTAGCAGTTTAGACTTTTACTTTCAGTTAAAGAGAATTGAAAAAGAATAAAGAGATGACTCAAGTAGAGTAAATCACACTAGCTGACTAAGCCATTCTTACTGCATCTGACTGCTATGGCAACAGAGCGGTGTCCTTAGAACATGCAGAGTTTGCTGCTACTGCAGCCTAATAATGGCAGTATCCTGAGCGTTTCCCAGATTATGCATAACATAACCTCAACTCTTCAAAGGTCTCAAACCTGCATGTTAGCCTCAGGAATCGCTGCTGGGGGTGGGAAATCCTTATGCTGTTTCATTTCCACTGTGGTCAACAACACAAGCACAGTAAGTGTGCAAGGCAAACCCTTAGGCTTCCAAAGCACTTACTGCTCAAGACCTTTGCTCCCCCTCTACTTTGCACTCTTTTCTTTAAGTTTCTGTCACTATTACACCTTCTGAAACAATGTTACAAATAAACTGACACTACTCTCAGGATCTTTAGTGATACAGAGCAAACACAAATCCACTGAATGCAGTATTCCAGTGTCTAAATTACAGAGTTAGAGAATAATTGATTTCTCCGAATCAAACCTAGGATCAGAAAAATATTTTCAGCAATGTCTGAAATTACGCATTAGCAATTTAGGGGTGACTGTGTTTGACAGAATCACAAGTAGCATACAGAATTTAAAGTAATGGCTGCATTAACGTATAAATACATACACACACGTATAAATAAGACATGGCTCATCACAACGATCAGCTAACCAAACAGCTCCAAGTCTTCTTTAGAGTGATGTCACAAAAAGATGCAGGAATAACGAAACTCTACAAAAGGATCTTGAACATTAAGATCCTAAGTGATAACTACATAGTTACACTACCATCAACACATTAATTAAGGTCGAATTATAAAAGCAGCCGTGTGGGTTTTGGAAAAGCCCCAGTTTGAAGTTTCGCACACAAACCCCACGACTCGCTGAACTCTCACAGCGCGGTGCAGGAGATCCGAACACCTCCGCGACCTCTGCAGCAGGGGCGGGAGGAGACGCGGCCGCGATTGCAGCCCCGCGGGGCCGGCACCGGGCCGGGCCGATAGCACAGACAACACCGACCGCGGAGGGCGAAAAGGTCACCTGCTTACCGAGCACGGCGGCCATGGCGCTCCCGACCATGCCCCCACCAGACACCACCACATCGTAGAGCGGCGCGGCAGCAGCAGCAGCAACAGACCGGGACAATAAGGGAGCCCGCTGGCCGGCCAGCAACCGCCCACCGAGAGGAGCCATCAGCCCCCACCCGCACACAACCGCCATGGCTCCGGAAGTGACCACACAACGTTGAACGGAAGTAGCTCCGGGAAACCATGACAACGCAACATACCTAGGGACCAGAGCCACACAAAACACCTCTTCCCGAGGGCCAATGAGCGAGCAGAGTGTGCTTTCCATCTTGGAGTCTGATTGGCTGCTGAGGCCAAAAAGGCGGGCCTAGGGCGCTGCCGGCTTCGCTGATTGGTGAGAAGCGGAATAAGTGCTGTTGGAGGACTGAGGCGGTGACCTGCGGATGAGGCTCGATCTTGGTGGTGGGGTTCAGGTAGCGCCGGGAGGGCGGAGGTTGGGGTTGCGCCCTCGAAACGGGTATGTCTCCAGTTCGTTATTTTCCTTGCAGGTGACACGGTATCCCCTCAGGCTGTAACGGACCGACTGCTGTGCCTCCTGCCACCGGTGAGGAGCCGGGAACGGCCTGTCGGGATGGGGGGCCAGCAGTCACCGCTAGAGCCGGGCTTACTGCACCAGGCAAAGTTATGGAATGATCTCGGGGTATTCGAAGAGGATGAGGAGTTGGAGGGTTTCAGGCAGGAGACAGCAGTCCTGCGTGACAAGTTGCGGGAGGCTCTAAGGTAGGATGGCAGAATGGCATGTGGGATTCCTACTGCTGCTGAAGTGGAGCATGAAGTCCCAAGATGCACATATATAGTACCAAAACACTAACCACAAGCATATTCACACACGAGAGGATGGGGCCAATAGGTGCCCAGATAAGCAGCGTTCACATAAAATGTGAACAGCACAAATCCTGTTCCTGCTCATCACCTAATCATGCTTAAAATTTGCTAGCAGTTCACACACATTTCACAGCATCCACCATTCAGAGCTGTAGTGTCTCCAACACGGAGTTTTCAGACTTCTTGTCTTTCTCAGTGAAGTTCACTAGCAGGTCACACACACACACACTCTTACAAAGGAAATAATGTATGAAGAACAGCGTGCAGCAATCGCCAGTCAAGTGTATGGACCAGGAGCACATTTATACATGATTGGCACCTTCTGCTTCCCCCCTTTTCCTGTACTTATCCCACCCTTATCCATCTCAATCCTTCATTTTACCTGCATTTATTCCTTCCCTAAATACCTTGGTTTATTCTGTTTCATAATCACTCTCAAACATGCCCATAGAAGTTTGCTATTTCAATGAGACCCAGGACAGTCCTGGTTTGTTTTTTCTCTTGCAATCAATTATATGGTCATCCTAGTTACAAAGTTTCCAGCTGAACCTCTTAAGAGTTGCACTAACACAGTTCATTGCAATGGCTCTTTCATCAGAATCTTGGGAATGCTAGTGTTTGGTGCACTTTGTTAGGATTTGTGTGCCTAATTTATTGCCTAAGTTTGTCTTTAATGTTAAGTAGCTATCAGCCAGATAACCAGAAAGTTCCAATTTTAGGGATTACTTGTAGTTTTTTCTGGCAATGAAGTGCTAGCAGCAAAGTAAACTGCATTACAAAGCTAAGTAGGCATAACCACCATTTCATACATGGAAAACAGAAGCAGGCAAAGCTCTGCTCACCACCTTTGGTAGCAAAGCAAAATATAGAGCCTAAAAATGATAAACCTTAAGCTTGTCTTAACTACCAGATCACCTGCAGTGTCTTTCTTCTAATCAACAGTGTCTCCTATAAAATATATCTATTTTTTTAAATAATTTCACTTATTTCCCCTTCATGATGTCTTTGTCTTAGTCGTACATCTGGTAACAAAAGGCAGCCCAGTTCTTTGACTGACCTCACCTTGGACAGTACCTGGGATCAGCAAAAGCCTCCCTTGATTCGTAAATCCCGCTTGAGGCCAAAAAGTGCTTCCTCTCCCTGGATTCCTTCCATCACCATCCCTCAGCCTTTCAAAATGACTCTGCGGGAAGCTCACAAAAAGTCCCAGTTGATGAAGTCATACATGTTTCTTGAACTAGACAAACAGAAAGATGAAAGGCAAAGCCAGGATGATGCTGAATGTCAGAAACAGTTTCGGGCACAGCCTGTACCTGCCCATGTGTTTCTGCCCCTTTATCAAGAAATAATGATGCAGAATGAGATTCGCAGGCAAACAGCAACACAGAAAAGAAAGGAGCTGCTGCTTTCAACCCTGAGGCCCTTCAGCTTCCTGGAGAAGGAGGAGAAAAGGAAAGAAGCTATCAGACAAAAGTTCCTGGCAGCAGCAACCCCAAATGACAGCTCCAAACAGAAGCAAGCCAGTAAAAAAATTCCTAATTCTACTTATGGCCCACTTCTTGGAGATAAACTCAAAGGTAAAATGCCAGGGCTCTTCCTGTTAACTCCCTGCCTGTCCCTTGGTATCTCCATGCTGGGAGGTAGAATCATGGCTCATAGGGCATTAGCTGGAGTAAAAAGCCAGTGTCATTACATCTCCTTGTGTTGTCCAGTCTCCTGCATATCACTGGTCCTTGCATTTTATCTAGATACCTTTACAGTAGAGTGGCCACAATTTAGTAGTCTTGTACCCATAGCAGCAGCAGCAGTTCTGTACCACTCCCCAGATATGTGGGAACAATCAGCTCTTTAGACAGATTTCCACATCCCTTGTGCTGCAAATCATGCTAGCTTGGGAATCTTTCACTGCACTGGATTCCATACCTTTGATTAATCTACAGGGATATAAATGATTTGTGGCACAAATACGAAGACAGATGTAGTACCAGAAGTGTCCCAAGGTCTGTGCAGTATCTTGAAACTGACAATTTTAGTCCCATTCAAGTGATCTGTGCTGCACAGGACCCCTAGAAGAAATGTACTTCCTGAGCCCAAATGAGGCTGTTAGTTCAGTTTTAAAGTGATGGTGCAGTAATCCAGTCTCTCCTGCAGTTCTTGGATGTTTTCAGTTACCTTCCCACTCGCTCTCCACCTTCTTAAGTGCTAAACCAGTGGAGGAAGGTATCAGGACTATTCTGGTCAGAGGAACAGCAAAGGAAAATTTCCTGATGCTCACATTCTTTCAGATGGTTTAAGGTCCCCCCTAACCTGTTGTAAGTTTGAAGCAAGCAATGCAGACTTCATGCTTGAATATAGGAACTAAACCCGTCCTTGATAATTCTTACTGCTTTTCTCACCCCTTATTTTTTTTTCACCATTTCCCACTGATTTCTTCCTGAGTACACCATGTACATGAAAATGAACACCAGTTCATTTTTCATCAGAAAACATTCTGTTGTGGCATAATAAACTAAATAGATTAGAAAGGTAAAAGAGAGCAAAGGACAAGCTCCTGTTCTGTTTCTGGTATATGGGGAGGGAGGAGGAATAAGCATTTCATACCTCAGTCAGTTCAAAGTTACAAATAGACTCAAAAAAAGTCTTCGTTTGCAAACAGCAGTATTGATTTCTTTTTTTTCTTAAAAGCAAAAAGCCACCCCAAGGCCAACTGTCTGCATTTTTACAAATGTTTAGTGCAGCACAGGAAAGGAGTCACTTGAGACTATACATTGAAACCCATTCTTTCTATGAAAGTTTGTCACAAGACATGATCCATCCATCAAACGCTCCTCACTTAAAATCTTTTCCAATATAGACAAACACTGCTGAATCTTAATATAGAAAAGGCATCATCCATCACAAGTGTATCTGAACAGCCCATGTAGATCACGCACTCAACATAATGACGTAAAGTCCCAGGTGAACCTTGATTAACACAACAACCCTGCAAGACAAAGGTCACAAGTTGTCTGATACCCCAAAGAATAGGAAAGGGAGGAGAAGGCCTGTCCAGTAACTTACTCAGATAAGTGAAAGAGATACCTAGAGATTCATACCTTAGAGACTCTGCCAGTTTTTTCCTGGTAATCTGTGTTGTTTTTTTCTCCTGGGAGGCAGAGGAGAGAGGCTGGAAAGTAGGGAAAGAGAACACAGAATGTCTGGTCTGTCCTACATGCGTAGCTACCATCATAAAGAAAAGTTTACGGTTATGCAGTGGCAATTTCACAGCCTTTTATGTCACTCATATTCTTCTAATTGCTTTTCTTTTGATTCATTAGAAGCTGAACTCTACAGAGAAATACGCATTCAAATGAGAGCAAAGGATTTGCTTGAGAGCTCAATAGCTCCTATAGATACCAGCAACTATCGGAGGGAGCCTCAATCCCGAACTGCTGCTAAAACTCAGCAGGAAAGACTTGGCTTCTTGCAGGACAAAAGTTTCAGCTTCAAGCCAAGGATTAATCCAACGATACCAGATTTTGAAGGACTCTACTGGGCATTTCAGAGGGAAGCAGTAAGGAGACAAGAAATCAAAGAAGCAACTCATAATAAGCCATTCAAGCTAAGAACTTCCAATCTCCATGGCAGGCAGAGGCAGGCTAATGAAAAGATAAAGGTGAGATGACTGGATAGTTCTGCTTTCTCTCATCAATACAGCAACTTATTAAATGCACAGCATTTCTTTATGGGTGGTTAATGTCCTGTGACCTCCATCCTTGCCTTGGGAGTACTGCAGAATTGTGGGACAAACCAGAAAGCAAAATTCTAAACAGAGATAAGCTATGACAGCTCAGGCTAAGCCACCCTTCCACTCTCCTAATCATGTCTCCTTCCCCTCAGCCCCTCATATAAATTCCTACTGACAGAAAGGAGAAGAATGAGTGCATTGCCACATACCCCAACTGTTCTTTCTGGGGGAGGAACAGAGGAGATTCTGTGCTGTGAAAAATACACTGAATGAAGTTCCTTTGGTTTTTGTTGTTGTTTTTTTTTTTTTGTGTGTGTGTGTTTTTGTTTTTTTTTTTTTTTTTTTTTTCTTTTTTTTTCCAGGATTCTCAGCAGCTGTCCAAGGTTTTAGTGAAGAAAAGTCATTTTCCGTCTGGACTTTCCTCTCTCTCTTCCAATACCCTTCCAGTGCATATTACAGATGCAACTAGAAAAAGGGGATCAGCTATTAGGTAAGTAGAAAAGTTTGTCTACAAGGCCATACACCAGCTAATGACTTGATTTAGGAAAACGGTCAGTGTTTTCCCTCATCGCACCAACTACATCAAGTATACATTCCCTAAATGTTTTTGTCTTCATTCTTTGCTAATTCTTGTCCTCCCTCTCAGTTGACTGGGGAGCTGCGCACTTGTGTGTCTGAAATTTCGCTTTTCTCCTTAGAGGACTACAAGAGTGAAGCACGTAGTCTGGCAGTCTAAAGTGAGCTCATTAGTAACTTTTTTCTATATAGATGCTCCCAAGATAACAAAAAGGAAGGAGGCAAAGAAGGAATTTATTGGCTAGAGAAGCAGAAAAAGAAATGTCAAGCTATCCAGAAGTCAGTGAACAGCCGAGCAAAAGCCCTGGATCCACATAAAAGTCTGGAGGAAACACACAAGGAGAAGTCAAAACAGAACTGGTCAGTATTCTATTCTTCAGAGAAATAATAATTTGTTCTACTAACTGGGGTGCATCAGATAATTCTTTAGGAGGACTTGGGTCTAAGAACTCTCCTAGCCTAAGTTTTCAACTGTCATACCCATTCCACGTCCATTTGTGGAATGGGATGTGACAACCCCACACTATTCCTTTCATATCGAACGGTTTCCTTTAGATTAATGTTTGTAGAAACTCGTTTGTACACACAAGCCAACTGAAATGTATAGTTTGGTAAAGCACACATAACATTTTCTGAAAATGTGAACACTGGTTCTCTGCTTACAGTCTAATAGTAAAGCTTTGTAATGGGTCTGTAATTTGCCAGCAGGATTATTTTTGCCCAGCATTCAGAATCAAGAGAAATACCAGAGCTATTTGAGGGATAGAACAGTTACTGAGATTCCTCATTCCTGATTAGATACAGTCAAAGGAAACCTCTATTTTACGGGCAACTTTTCCATTTTAGGGAAAAAATGAGAGAGAGAACAAAGGAATACAGAAAGGAGTTGGAAGAAATGCAGCTACGAGTCAAGAACAGACCATACCTCTTTGAACAGGTCACCAAGGTAACGGGTCAGAGTTCCAGAGTGTTTCTGGGCAACAGGATACATTGTCTTTCATTTAAAACAGGCATTAAGAAGTCTAGTCTCAAGTTAGTTCATGGATAAGGAGATGCACATGAGAAGGCCACCCAGTTTAAATTCCTTCCCATCACTTGAAAAACAACCACTCAGAGTTATTTCTTGGTCATAGAGCTTTCTAGTATATATGGCAATCAAAAGACATGGTCTGATCAAAATCAAGGCTTTATCACACCAGAAATTACATGCACACCTATTCTGTACCCGAACACCACAGCCTGCAGTCTATTCTAAACTTTTTTTCTTAAAACCCTCTCCAGTTGAGCACTTTTTCTTTGTACTTCTAGTGCTACTAGAAAAAAACATTAATGACAGTTACTTAGCTTGTATCATATGCAAGCTCTACTCTCTGGGGTTGCATTCAGCACATCTCATCCATCACACAGGACCAACAGCGTATGTGTATTGTATTTGAGGTGTAGATACAATCTTCACTCTAAGTATCTTTTTCCCTGGGTTTTCCCTTTCAGTTCCATCTTCTTGCAGGGATGGTATCTGGTTACAGACACAGTGACAATACATTGACAATATGCTGATTTAGGATTTCTCAATAGAAAGTACCCTCCTCGGTCAGACTTTCTGTTCAGATGAGTGGTTAATGAAGGCAGAGACAAATCTGTATGATAAATATTGGTAACATTTCTGTTTGCCAGGTTGATAAGAATTCACCAGTATTGATAGCATTCACTTGTGTCAAGACAGGGTATCTATCCTTCCCTACAGAGTACCTTAATCTTTAGGAACTGGCCAGTCCCTCTGGTAAATGGTCATCTCAGACTACATAAATTTGCAAGGGTTATTTGGAGGCAGTGAGGATACAGTATCCAGGATGCTTGGTTTTCAGTTTCACGAAGATGAGCTGATACAAAGCTATTTGACAGATGCTCTCCATTTACTGAACTTCACTGTCATTAGTGCTTACAAATTACAAGCAAACACACTTCCAGAATTTCTCACAACCCTTTTTTGCACATATTCTCAATTCAAGTGTAAAAGGTCAGGGCTCAGACACAAGTATGTTTCTCTGGTAAGACTGGAATGCTGTAGAAACAGGAGGGTAGAAGAAGGAAGAAAAAAGAACAGCAGCAGGAAGAGCTCTGGCTTTCAGAGGTGTGAGACATCTTCCTAGTATTCAGTTTTGGTACTGTATGGATAAGAAATTTTTGGATTGGACCCTAGCTGTCCTTTTGTTCTCATTAGGGGTGTCAGCCATGAACTTTAGAATGACTGGACTGTTATGAGGAAGCCCCAGCTCTACATGCTTACTGTTTTAAGTTTTGATTTCATAGCATGATGCTCGTCAAGGAGCAGAACGTCACTACAGACAAACTCTCCAGCAGCTGGGGCTAAGCGAAGAATTTGTAAGGAAAAAAGGGAAAGATGCCACTGACCTGCTGAAAGAAGAATCTGATGTTCACAGGTAATAAAACAGTGCAATACAGCTCGTTTGTCTTTTACTAAAAATATTTTCCTTGCTCCAGTTTGTGTCGTATAGTGCAGACAAAAATCAAATCAACCACATCACTTCTCTTATTGAGCATCATGGCTTCTCCTATCTTAATTCCTATGGCTGCACTCTATTTCTTATGCATGGGGCAAAGCAGCAGAAAGTGCTGCAAACCATTTCCAGTATTCTGGACAGTCACTGTTTCTGCAGAGTGCCCAAGCCTCGGGGTGAAAAGGACACCTGTACTGTACAGGGAGGAGAACCTCAAGAGGAACAGATTGGAAAGGAAATGGCAACGTAAGATCTAGCAGAAGAATCCATCAATCACCTCTTGATTATCTTGATTCTCCAGGTTAATCTTCAGGAACTTTGTGGTTTAGGCTGACACTACAAATTGCTCTGGGGTGAGATCTTAGTAAAGAAAAACAGACCAACTGCTGTTCAGAGCATGTCTTGTCCAATCCAGCAAACCTTGTGCTCTTAGTCTTCACAAGTGTTCCTTCCTTTAACAGGCAACAAAACAAGTTTAAAAGGTTGAACTACTATCTTTGTATAGAAGTAGATACAAAAGATTGAAGAGGTGCATCCTCTAGTGTCAGCTCCTTGTGTTTGTGCCACAGAAGCACACAGGAAGGGGAGAATGCTTTTCAGTGTGCCAAATGTTGGTTTGCATATCTGTGTGGTAGAATGCTGTTAAACAAGGTATTTCTAAAAAAAACAAACCAACCAACCAACAGAAAACCTTGGGAGAAGACTCAGAGGGACATCCTCCTCTGGTGTTAACTCTTTGTTCACTGATTACCAGCTCTGCTCCCTCCTCCCATAAGGAAGAAGGAATAGTCTTTATTAAAAAATCTCCCATATGTCATTATTTGAAACTGTTTTAACATCTTACCAATTTAGGCCATTCATTTAGTCTGAAAGACAACCAGAGTTATGAAAAACATAATTAAACAATGCATCACTTTGGATTGCTATTGTCCTAATTCTATCATTACTGTGATATCAAGGATGTAGTTTGCTTGAAGAAAGATTAGGTATTACCTGTCAGCACACTGCAAATGACTGGCACATCTTGAATGGTATTGTTCACAATTTACTTGGCTTCCTTTACCTGACAGTAATAATAATCCCAAGAATACAAACCCTTGCCACCTGGAATGTTTTCTTAGAATTATGGTATCAAAGCATGAGATTAAAAGATTTCTAAATGGTCATTATGTTTCTGCATTGTCCTATTTCTTTATCAGTCACCTTTTCCTCACTTTTTAAATAGAAACTGTGTCCCTCTGCATCTTCTTCATCTCAATCCATTTCTCCTTACACTATAGCAACAGAACCCCATCATCAAATCTGAAATACAGTACCTGTAAGAGTTACCACATTAGATAAAAACAGAAAATGGAGATGATGCCATTTTTAATCTTAACAAGGTACTAGGTCCAAGAATTTAAGGCCCTGAGGTTACAGGCTGCTATGTTATACTTCCACTGTTGGAAGATTTGCTGGACTGCAACAGTGCTCTTTACTGTCTTCATGCTGAGAAGAGGCTTAAGCACCTGGGAGGGTTCAAGGAAGGCTGTTACCAGTGCACTGGTTTCTGTATAGGTTTGATGGTGCAGGGAACAGGCTGTTCTTTCTCCTGTATCCCCTGGAAAAGCACAGTGATGTAATCATTGTCACCATGCCTTGTCACATTGAAACAGGAAGGAAAGATTTCTTGCATGTCCCAAGTCTCCATGGTCTAAAGCCCAGTGAGCTTGTATGGGTATATCTGAAGCAGTGGGAGTGAAATTTAAGTACATATATTTTAAGGGGTATTCAAAAATTGGTGGCTAATTTCCATAATACTTGATGATGCTGGAAAATGAAACTTCCAAGTACATGAAGTGCAAAGGAAAACCTTAAGAAAGGAAGAACAAAGGCTTGACTTTAAACTAATATATGATATTATGCTGTATCCTTTTAACAAATATTAAGGTGACAAGCATGAGTACAGTAACAGATAAATCCAAGTCTGATAAATCCAAGATAAAGATATCCAACAGATAAATCCAAGTACTGGTCCCTAAACAGAAACTGCTGAAATAGTGATAGTAAAAGTAAAAATAGTAAAAGCATCAAATTAAGTAACTGAAACTCACTAGCACCTTTCTTGCTAAACTAAGTGTTGTTCTTAAAGTAGGATTATATTTATGTAATCCTATGAGAGATTTATAATCTTAGTATATCTCAAAAAAAAGGTATGAGAATAAAGAATTTCAATTTTTGCTCTGAATTTTTGCATTTTATGAAATTATTTTGTAATTTTTAGTTAAACGAATTACTGCCTGTTCAGCTAACCTAATACTGTAGTAAAGGAGGCTTCTCACTGGAGCATCTCCCATCAGCTGATGAGATGGTAGCCAAACCATACTGTATTGCAATTCACAGGTACCTGCTGCAGCTTCTGCAAGAACCTCCAAACCACACTACCTTTACCAAAAGCAGCACTACCTTTATATTCAGCTAGGGAGCAACATAAAACATTCACTTCGCACAGGAGCTGTTATGGACATGTAGTATCTTAGCAAAACTCTGCATTCTTAATAATGCCAATTCTACAGAAAGTCTTTAAGTTAACAAAACCTCAAAACATCTACATGGTAGACTCATTTAAAGAGCTTGATATACCAAAAAATTTTTGGAAGAAAAAGTGACTGGGGAAAGTAGGAAAAGAACACAGCAAATGTAATTAAATGATACCAAGTAGTACATTTATTTCAGATAGTAAGTCAGCTTCGGACAGTGAGATGTATTAGAATATAGTCTTTGAAGGTAAAGGATGGAAGGCAGGCCTGTTGCTGAAGATACTGAATGTTTGTACAGTGCCTAGCACAACGAGGTCCTGGTCCTTAACTGAGGCACCCAGGTGCTCCAGCAAAACAAACACTTTAGGCTTTAGCAGAATGGACTGCATAAGCAGTTTTGAAATGGTGTTCCATGACATGGACTAAATGACACCTAAGCAGCAGACTTCACCTTTTAAGCTCTGCAAGAGAGAAACTTGGTCCAGTAGGTCTTCTCCAACTCCAGTTTTATAATTCATTCTCCATCTACCCACCCACTGTGCACAGTTAAAGCAATGTTCACTCCTCCACTGCAACACGGTGAGCCTCTAGGAGGAATTATATGATCGATCCCACCACTTCAGTCACTACATATAAGAGGGCGGAAAAAAGAGCAGCTGGTCTCACCCTCCTCTACTCCAATAATAGACTCTGTATCTGGCAGATGCAGAGACTCAACACCAAGGCTGGGCTGAGAGTTCATGGAGATGAGACTCTTACTATGCACTGTAGATTCTTCCAGCAAACTGCTGCCCATCAGTGACTCTGTTGTGAAAAAAAACCAAAATAAACCAAAATTTTCATCACATAATGATACTGCAGTATAAGATGCAATCCCTGCTCCCCTTCAAGTCACACAGACTTCTTCCCTAGACATTTATCTGTTCCTACTCTTTGGGCATCTGGCACTCCAATGGATGGTAACTCCTGTATTTATTTTGAGCCTTACTATGGTGGAATCTCATGCAGGCTTGTCTTTCTCTTTAAATAATTCACGTTGCATAGAAAAACACACTGCTTAAACAAGAATGTTGTAACAACGGACACAAATTCCATACTAGATTCCTGTCAATTTTGAAAACAATAAAAACCTATCTGCCCCTTAACCACAGTACCGAAATATACCATTGTCTTTTATCCTAGGAAAGGGGAGGTGAGCAAATCTATCCTCATCTCCAAGACAGTCATTTACTCCTTATTGGCTTGTGGTCTCTTATTTTCAGGACAAACACCTTCCCTTCTCTTGGAGCATCCACTAATTCTTTCCTGCACTTTCCCACACAGAGAGTCTTCTCCCTTCCTTACCTGGCTGTTCTCGCTCCCTGCTGCCAGCTGTTCCAATTCGGGAGTGGTGTTTCCTCATATGCACGTTTCTGCTACCACTCTGGGAAAACGTCTTCCCACAAATTTGGCACTGATGGGGCTTCACTCCTTGGAGGGGAAGGGGGAAAAAATAGGCCAAGAATTACCAAAATTGCCATAAAGACCTTAGCAACCAAGAAGCCAATAATTCTGCTTTGGAAAAAAAAAATAAAAAATTCCTCTTTCCTGGAGAGCAATAAGCTTCCAGAAGAGAAGACTTTTAGATATCAGTATTGCCCAGCTGTTGGAAAAACCAAGTCTGAAGACAGTCTTCAAGTCTTATTTGTGAGAGGGAAGAAGTTATTTGGAATCTCTTATTCAGTGACATGGAAATATTTGATGTCCCATACCTAGAATAAAATGGCCAAGAGAAAGGAAGCAGTGGCAAGGAATCTCTATCCTGCCATCACACAATAAATTGTAGTTACATTACTGAGCAGAGACTGGATGATGACTTGTCACTGTGAAAGGACTTCCATTTTACAGACCAGTCTGTCATTTTCACAATACAAGTATGATGTCTGTATGTGTGATCTCAATAGCATGGAAGCCAAGGAGACAGGAAAGAAAAAGCATGGAGAACTTGGGCACTCCCAAAAGTTGCCACCCCAGTAAAACCTCCCTTTCCCCAAACATGCTGTATTCATCATGTGCTGATGATATTTAAGATAGATCAATCAAAACAAAAGGCAGAAGCTTTGAAGCATTTCTGAAATACATTTCCATCTAATGCTTTGTTCAATTACAAGTACGTAGTACTAAAAAACAATGGAAAACCCCTACCTATGGCAGAAACCCACTCATGAGAGATTTCAGATTTGAATGGCTTTGATTAATATAAAGAGGTGCTAGATTCTGTCTTTTAAATAAGAAAATGACAGCTATGAAACAGATACCCAACTTCATAACATTTTAGAAACAATAAAAAAATATTTGTATTTAGAAACATGAAATTTAGGAACAGAAAGAATGGGAAAGATTAAAGTATACAGGCTATAGCCACCACAAAGCAAGTCATGAAACACTATGACCAGAAGTACAGCAGAAACCAGAGGATTTTTCTTAAGGAAATCAAATCAAAGTTGTACAATAAAGAACTTTTCTCAGATAGGTCACAAAATGTCAGATGAAGACTCTTACCTGAGTGGACAACCAAATGTTTCCGAAGGCTGGAGTATTCGGCAAAGGAGCGACCACATCCCTGTGCCTCACACAGAAAGGGTTTTTCCCCTACAAGGGAAAAGTATGTTCTTAGATTTTGGGATCACAACAGAATAGCCTGGAGATCTCTACCCCATTCCCCCTTTTGGCCTTACATGCAACAAAGTTCAATGGAACTTATGCATATGCTTCCTAAAGCTTTTAAAGCATTCTCTTTGTCAGCTTTCAAGAAGAAACACTGACATTCTTTTGGAAATATTCTCAGATCATCATTTACTGAAAGTGAAGGTAGGGTCCACTGCTCCTAAACAGGTCTTCCAATAAATATATAAATACCAGAAGATTAATATAAAAGTACCAGGAGTATTATATATCTTCCATATGAAGTTCTTAACAAGCAGTTCTCTGCTTCACACTCTCCCAGGATCCTGTTCCCTTTCTGCATCTCCATGCCAAAAATTCCATTAACTATATTTCCCTTCATGTGAAACTCTATATTTTACTTCAGATCAGACTGAACTTGCCAAAATCCTGTGAGAGATGTGTCAGTCATATTTATGTGTGGAAGAACAGTAATTCAAGGCACAATTTGTTCT